TGAGAAACACCCAATTGCTCGGCAAGCATTTTTTGCGATTGGGTATCGTCCAAAAGAGCTTGCAATTGACAGTCCTCAACTTTCCTGGACCGATTTTTCACGCTTCTTGTCATTCAAGTCAAAAAATTATTGTCATTGAACCGGCGAAACCAATCTCTGCACGTTGTTTCCGATAAAGCATTGTCGCCATAGGCCTCCAAAGCATTCGATGCGATTCGACAGCCGATTTCTTCAAATTGAAACAGAAAAGCAAAGCTTCCCACTATGCTTTTTTTTTTTAGCAAAAAACTAAACATGATTACGAAAGAAAAAATGTTGTTGTATGAAATTGGTGATGATGTGCACTGGTTAATGTTGACAGATGTCAAACACATAAAAAAAAGTGTGTTGTGTGCCCAGGGTAGCTTTGTAACTCACTAATGCCACCTATGAGCAAACAGCGGATTTAAACTTATACACTTGTTTGTGTGTGTGTGTGTGTGTGTATGTGTGTGTGTGTGTAATTAGTTCCATAATACTTACACAGTTGTCACCTATATATTTATTATAGTTGCTACGCCATGTTTTTTTCTGAGTGTAGTATTGCGAGATGAGTCGAAGGATTCAATGTGATAATGAGAAATTTCTATCTCCTTTGAAATTTAGAGAATATTTATATGTTAAATTGAAATTAGAGAATTACATAAAATTTATGTGAAATAAAATCAGTTTGAGAGAAAGAAAATTGTTGATGTTTGCGCTAGACCATTACATTTGGGAATAATAAAATCGGATATAAATTTTCTTAAATTTATCTATAACATAATAATGTAGAATAGAATAGAATTTACACTTCAGCATTTACATAACCAAGAAGGGGATTTGGTTTACATAAATTCCTTATCTACACTTATCCTTCCACACTGCTAGTACCTAACTCTAAAAATAAAAAAAAAGATTTTCTTAATATTCTTATTCTCACACATTTCTTTGAATATCACAATATATGTTCCTCTATCTTATAATATTTATTACTTATATATCACAGCCTGATCATTGCATATACTATACTACAATACAATACTATAATACAATACAATACGATAGTACGACTCATAGCTACAACTATATACATATGTCGCAGTGCAATACAATATAATAATGTAGAAAATATATGTTGATCAATGTTTGAGAAAAGAAATTAGTTTTAGTAAGAAATTAGTAAGAATTATTGATAATTGTGTGTGTGCGATAAAGTCTTCAATTTGTTTGAAAGATTTGTCAAAATCAGATATAAATTTTCTTATTTTTATCTATAATAATAAACTACGCATAAACTGCGAATTTCGCGATGTAATTAGCAAACTTTGAGAATCGCTATAATCTTAACCCGATGATTACACTTTGTGAAAATTACGTAATGATCACACGAGGTCAACATGACCCCAGCATGTTTAAATGCCACAGCTTTATTTTTATAGATATAGGGTCAAAAAAAATTAGGGACATTCTTTGAACTTTAAAATATGTATTCGTATTGATTTTTTGCTAAATTAATAATTTTAAAATAGTCAAAAAATTCATGAATGAAAGTTTACGTGAAAAGTGACTTTTTTTTATTTTAAAAAATCAACTTTTTTATTTTTTAATATTTTTGCGTAAAATTTTAGGGAAGTCTTCAGATGCTGTACTTCGATAAAAAAAATTATTGCAATAGCGGACGTTTCAAAAAAGGTATTTATTTTGAAGATTGATTGGGATCACCGTGACCTCAGCAATATGATACGTCCACTTTGCTCGATTGTCGAAAATACACTAATGCGTTTTACGCCATGCCAACCGCATGGTAATGTAATTAGAGACTCAAACTACTAGTAGATGGAGCATCAGATGTTATTTCGAAATTTAAGTGAAAATTTGGTGAAAATTTAGTCCAAACTTTTGGTGAGGTCACAGTGACACCCCTAGTAATCAATTAGAGTTAAGATATTGTTTCGCAATATTTCCTCGCTTGTGGCCTCTCATTCAGCTTCGCAATTTCTTTTCTCTTTATTAATTGGAGAAAAAGAAGTCTAAATAATCTAAGCGATTTACTCTCTATCGTTTTATTTTTTTTACATGCCAGATTTTGACAGAACTGACAGTCAGGCGTAGAACTCTGTCTACGATTATTATACCAGGTTGTCGGATGCGCTCCTAGCTGCCCCTTCCGATATGCAATCATTGCACAGCGGAAGCACAATGGTCTCGTCGCAGGCGCTCCTCGGCGTTAATGCCGCTAATCGCGGTACATTATCGATGTACGAGGAAACACATAGGTCAAGTTCGAGGTGCAAGGTGCTCGTGATCTTGACCGCGCGCGATCGCCTTGGTTTTGCATGTCTCGATCGAAAAGAATCGATAAAACTCGTGTACACTACACATTGAAGATTGCGAATTGGAGATTAGAATTCGACCAGTCATATAATTTTGTCTATAATACCGTTTCATTCTGATAAGCTGAATTAATTTTAATTTTAATTTATTTCATTCTCACTGAATTCTAATCTCCAATTCGCAATCTCTTTAATCTCTAAATGCATAGTGTGACATGGGCCGATTTCCCCGAGTGTTTTAACAACATGTATTTCAATAAACAGCGGAAAAGCGATGAACATGCGATAACAAGACAAACGTGTCTCATTATGTAATCGCCAGGATTTTTATTTGCACCGAATTGTATATGTTTAACATTCGATGATTGGATCAGATTGAATATTTGTCAGTTTTCGAATATTACTCGCGTGTATATCTGTTTTACGTTATAAAAATGTAAAAAATCAAATTTGAAAACTACTTTCTATTTTATTGTTTTATAGTAGATTTATTATTATTTAGGGAGCGATTTTTTAATTATTTAATAGAGTACATTATGTTATTACACACAATTATTTAATAGTTGGATCAAGAATGATCCAACTATTAAATAATAGTATATTGTATTTTGAGACACATTAATTATTTTTTTAATAATAACGAAATGTTTTATGTTGCTCAGTTATTTCAATTGAAAAGTAACGTAATTAAGCAGCCAACGTTAAGAATGTCGTTAAAATTGTTTAAAAAATAAATGTGTATTCCAAAGCGCAATATATGTCTCTTATATAGTGTTCCACACAGTCTCTTCCACTAATATTTCTGAGTCTTAATTTTGTACTATGTTTTAGTGCTTAAAAAAGATGCTAGAGTGACGAAATTATTAATACATTACAGCTGTATAAAAATCTCTGAATTGACTGAACGGAATCAAAAATCCTTTTGCAAGATTGAAATAGACGTAAAATTAGAAAGTGTGCGGCATTGGACTTTATATTAAAATTGGAAAAATAGTTAAAAACTTACATTTTTCAATTCGTAAAGTTGACGTAGAGACGTTTCCTTAATACAAAAAGTTTCATGCTCGACAAAATGATAATAATAGCATCACTCGTCAAATTACGTGAATTATGAACAATATTGAGTTTATAAAACTAAGACTATTGAAAACTTAAAAAAAAGATTTATATTGATTTGTAAATTACGTGTATACTGGTGTATATGTATACTTAACGAAGGCTCAATAAACAGAAATAGTAATTGTGTGTAGCAGTAAGTGCCGGATTTTGCAAGAGAGTGTTGCAATATGTTAGATAAGGACAAATGTATGCATATATGTAAGTAAGACAGAACAATAAAATGTAAGAAATGAATTGAATGAAAGATGTTACTATTATCGACATTTTTAATATAGATTTTTAATATATTAAAAAAGTCTGTACTATTAATATCGAATTTGGTTTAACATCCTCTTATAAGGGAATTAATCCCATAATTATCAAAATGCGATAAATGACGTTTTCTCTCTCTTCTCCTTTTCTCCCAGCTTAATTAAAATCGATGTAGAAAAGTAATAAACACATGGTGATAACAGGTACATGTCGTATGTGATCGTCAAGATTTTTATCGAATTATGCAGATGGAAGTAAAACAGACAAGCCAGAGCTGCGCTTTGAAATAAAAATGCGAAGCAAGTACATATACAAAATGCCATTTCATAAGATGTGGTTTTCTTTGTTTTTACTACGGATTTTATTTCGCTTACGAATGTTAGGACAGATGACTAAATGTAATCGCGTAAAGATTGTATGTACAAGATTGTGTAGGTACAATTCATGCGTTTCGTTTGTTTTTTTACAATATATTTTTCATAACATTTACTTTCGCAGGACGAAGACTTTGAGCGCGAATAAATACCCAGAAAAACATGCCGTTTGTATTTGTATCTATATTTTTTTCATTCTGCTTTATATTTTACAGTTTGCTTTGATAAGTACGGAAGCGAAAACGCACTTGCCCCACTTATTTGCGCTTGTCCTGATATTATAGATAAAATTAAGTTATATCTTTCTTCGCGTACAGCTAAAAATAAAAACAAATACAGACTTATGTGTATCGTGTTGTTATTATATATCAATTTAATTTAATGGTACGATGCGTTTTTTTGTATATCTGAGAATAAGTACAGAATAAGTACAAAAATTCAAGGAAGTAGGACTCAACGCGATAATTAGTGCGCTAATATAATATTGAATTTTTGTACTTTAATTTGTTAAATTTTTGAGGAGTTTGATTCCAGAATAATAGAGTCAGGATACCGTCACTTTGATAAAATAAATTATGATATTCATAACGATCAGGACTGATCGAAAAATGACTTTGAATAATTATTTTGCCATTTTGGTGCCATTTTGTGGCATACCTTTTGATCATCAAGACATCAAAGTGGATGCCAAGTGTCTTTACGTTCCGCCTGAGTATCATAGTGTCATAATTTTGATAAGCAACATTCTCCGCGTATACAGTAATACGCAACGATGATATGTGCGGATACGCAATAAGTTTGTATTCGCCTTAATTGATACGTTGTTATGCCTTGCATAGCAACAGCTCGCCAAGTTTTTGCGGACTTCGCTCTTCACGACTCGGGTACACTTTTCTTGCAGGTGCTGGGCAGGCAGCAATACATCGTGCGACCGATGGTAATGGAGGAGAATTGCACGCCCGGGACTGGTAGCGACAACCCAGCGATTGCCGGAAGTAGCGGGATCATTAGCGAGGCCGCGCTGGCACACGCGCCAGCCTTGACCGAACGAAACCTCCGGGAGTACGGAATTCCTCTGCAACAAGCTATCGAAAAGGTGTGTCCCACATCAACGACTGTAGTGGAAGAAGACTTTGAATTTCAAATATTTATTGAGAATTTTATTTAAAAATTATATTTGTAATAATGTCTATTAAAAATGCTCCATAAATAGACTTATCGATTTGTTAACATTGAGAGAAAGTCAATTTTCAGAAGACATATTTTTGGAATAAAAGCTTTTAATGGTCAAGCTGAATCTTAAATACTTATTCGATGTATATTTAACGATGTATATACTATCTACATATGTAGTTATTTAATTTACACGCCGAATTGATTTTTTGGTCATGAAATGCAAATCTGATTAAACTACAATAATAATAATAATATCACAAATTAAATTGACTATAGCAATTTAATAATTTGATGTTTATCATAGGCATCTTGGAAAGATCTTAATGCTGCCAAATAACATAAAAATCTGTAAATAATTTTATTGCGAAATTGCGAAAAATATAATAACCCTGGCCAGGAAAAAAATCGAACCTGGATCTCTTGCACTGTGTGCGAGCGTCTTCACCTCATTATTTACAGATTTTAATATGTTATTCAGCTTCATATATTATTAAGATTTTTTTAACAATAAAATGTCTATGAGTATCAAATTATTAAATTGCTAGTCAATTTAATTTATGATATTACTATTGCAGTTCAGTTAGATTTACTTTTAAAAAACGAAAAATCAATTCAGCGCGGAATTTAAATGAAACTACGTAGGTAGTATATAAATTCACATCAAATTATTTAAGACAATTTAAGTACTTAAGATCCAGCTTCAGTTAAAGACCTTAACTACACATCCTATTTTCGAGGACATAATCGAGACATGAAATGGGCACAACATGGGCGTGCCTTTCGAATGCCAATGTATTGTGTGTGGGATATTCTTAAAATATGTATTTACATTGACGATCCTAAAAAATGCTTTGTTTAATATCAATAGGAAAGAAGTTCATTATCTTTTTACTCTTTTATCTATTGAGAGATAAAGATATCCATTTTTTGAGTTAAAAGATAGATAATCTCTTGAGAGTTAGGAATATAGTATATGTAAGGTAGTTGAGCCCCGAATAAAGCTTAGGCATTAAATAAGGCCCACTTTAAATTTATTATTTTAAACTCTTTAAAAACGCTTTACGCCTGCAGTACATGCTTAAAAGATGTGTCAGAGGAAGATAAAAAAGGATTAAAGAATTAGAAGCTGTAGCAACACGTTTGTTTAACACAATATTGTATGAGGGTAGTATGAGTCATTTTTATAATAATTCGCTACAAAATTTACTAGTACACAATATGTTTCATAATTTATTATAATTCATATAATATTATTCAATTTCTTTACTATAGAAAATAACTAATAAATCCATTTTTAAAAAATAAGTATAAGTATTTTTTTTAAACAGTGTTTTGAAAAGTTCTCTTATTTAAAGCCTACTTACGTAATTATTATTATAGCTACTATTATTTGTTTGTTATATATAGAGTTTACGCTAGAGAATAACAATTTTCAATACTGTTTTTTAAGAAACAAAATTTTCAAAATTGCATTGAAATTGCTAGAAATTTCTAAAGATTAATTACAAACAAAATTAAAGATAATTGTAATATTTAAAAGTAGAGTAAGTCCTAAGGAATTTCCTTTCTATAATATGATAATTTTAAGACTGATTTAGAAAGAAAATGTCTACTTCCTTCTTATTTTTAATTTAATATTCTTCTTATTTTTGATTTGGGCCTTATTATATTCATATGTAATAAGGCCCAATGTTAATTTTTTTTTGTTTATTTACATATATTTTATACAGAATGTTCCATTTTAAATGTCCCACTCTAAATAACTGTTTCATTTTTTATTTTAGAAAAAAATGCTTCAGACAAAAGTTATATGGCTTTAAGGAGGACATAGGATGATATCATTAGTTTGACTTTAAATAATTGCTTGAAGGTCACATAAAGGTTATCTTCAATTTCTTAAATAGAGCCATCTACTTTTTATTGCACATTCTTGTAGATTATCTCGAGAGCTTTCCAAAATACTATAATTAGTTTATTTTCATTAAGTACTTTTCGAGCTTTAAGATTTTCAAGCAACTATTCAAGGTCAAATTAATTACATCATCTTATGTCCTCCTCAAAGCCATACAATTTTTGTCTGAAACATTTTTTTCTAACATTAAGCATGTGACACCCTTATAAATAATATATTTTATTTTTGAATGAATATGAAATGAAGATTTGATTCTTACTTAATTTAATTCAATATTCTCATAAATAGAATTTTTAAAAAGTAAAAGAAATTAGTTGAGCCTTATTCGGCTTAGGTACTTTATAGTACCTTGTACGTACATACATTTATGTGCGTACATAAATGTATGTGTGTATATGTAGATATATATACACAATATTTGTTTAGTGTTAAAACGTCATCTCTGTGAACCTGTTTTTTTCCAAAAGGTTCCACTTTTTCAATATTTGGAAAAAATAAGTTCTGGTTTTCCTCCAAAGAGTTCTAGAGTTTTCTATCAATTTTAGAAAGAGTTCCATTGATTAAAGCGATGAAAAAACTATTTAAAGTATCGGAAGGGGAGGAGATCAATTTCACAATTCTGAAACTTTAAACAGCTATAACTTCTTTGCGATTTTAGCACTTTCATATATGACAATCGATAGGACTTTTTTGGAGGAGGGGGGGGGGGCACTAGAACTCTCAAGAAAACATTGGATTTCTGAAAAAATTTTTTGAAAAAAAAAATTTCTGGAAAAAAATTTTTTTTAGATTTCCAGCATTTTGTCATGAGTTTTGATCCCCCGAAGAGTTCTGACGATTATCCTTAATAATCAAATAGCTGAGACTGCAAACAAAAAAGTTCTAGCGCCTCGAAGTCGAAAAACGAAACTCGAAAACTGAAACTTCAAACTAGAAGTTTTTTAGACAGTTTCAGAATCAATATCTAAAAAGTTCTAAAAGTTTGAAGTTTCAGATTCCGAATTTCTCTATTTCAAAGTGGTAGAACTTTCTTGTTTCAGCAATTTGATTATTAAAAGTAATCGTTAGAATTTCGTTATTAGAACTCATGACAAAATGCTGGAAATCTAAAAAAAAATGTTTTTTCCAGAAATTTATTTTTGAAAAAATTTTTTCGGAAATCCGATGTTTTCTTGAGTTCTAATACCCCCCCCCCCCCCCCT